TCCCAAAACCCCAAAACCCCAAAACCCCAAAATATTAGTAATCAGTAAATTTATGATAAATAGAAACTCTTAAATATAAAATAATATACTATATTTTCTTAAAAGATAAGTTCATGTCTCATTGAAATTGAAACAAACCTTTTCCACTGATTAAAATCTAATTCTATTCAAAAGCCTAACCTTCAAATAAAATCAAGATATATTTTTTAATAGCATCAAGTGTCTCAATTTAGGTTATAGTTGTAGAAGTCCATTTTTGTTCATTTTAGTTTAACTTATTAGTTCTCAAAATTTGACCTTAAAGGCAAATTTCATTAGATTTAGTAGCTAGGTACAGATAGATTCCATTTTGCTAGTCTATACAAAAAGTATGATATCCTTAGCAACCAACATAATCATTAGTATCTCGCTCTAAATTAAAATGATCCTCATAAGAATATAAACCCTCTACTGGAGTGATATCACTAATTCTCTTAATTGATGTAAATATGTTTGTAGAATGTTCATCACCTCTTCTAAGCCTTTCAAAGGCTTAAACAACAATTTGTAGTTTACCCTAGCCATTTATCATTAATCTAGAGACGCTTTATTAGAAATAGTTCAACCCAGCTAACATCTTTAAATCTTAAGTCAATAAATTGAACATTGAAATTTCTCTATTTTTATTGTTTTGCTGAATGAAAGCCCAACCACGATATACTAATAAATTACAAGCGTTATGATTTAGTTCTTTGAAACGCTCAAATTCTATGAATTTTTCGTTTTTTATGTCAATCATTGCTAGTCTTTGCTTTTGAAAATAATCCTCTGTATACAAGGAGTAAATAAAATATATCTTTCCTTGATATTAGCTAGAACAATGAAAATTAAGAACAATCTTTTCCTTATAATATTCTTCCATCATTTATCCCAGATCAAATTATTCATATTCTAAGCAAGGCTTCTATGGATTCTCATGATTAACTTTATTTATGAGCAAATAAATATTTCTCAGCTTATGCAGATTTCTTATGACTTTATCTATAATGCATTCGTCTGTTTCTTCTGACATTATACTATAACTAAGCTTTCTGTCTCTTGCTTGAGCACTTTGTAATAATTATGGAAGATAACTTTCATTAAACTTTTTGTTGAGAATTTGAAGAGTATTAAGGTCATATTTATCACAAAGATACTCAAATATGGTTTAACGAGGGCCAGCACTGTAGAAAACATTTTTTATTAAATTGTTAGATTCCATTTAAGATTCAGTTTAAATTTTATTTAATGCCTATTGATTTAGCTATTATATGCTTTATGGGGTTTTGGGGTTTTGGGGTTTTGGGGTTTTGGGG